GGTAAGACTACAACGAAGCAGATTATGCTGAACGTGAAGCTGGAACATATGTACATCAAATTGAACGGAAAAATAGAGATTTTGGTCTCTCATCAAAGCTTTTAATAATTAGGTTGTGCAAACAATTGCTATATCTTATAAGTCAATACGTGTAGTTTTGGTTGTATATTTGACTCCAAAGGTATATTGGTCGATTTGACAAAGCAGGGCATACTTGTTGTAGGGATTTGGTTACGAGTAAATGCAAATGCAGTTATGCACCTCTCATTTCTCTATCAAACCTTCCGCATACTGAGCCGTCCTTTATGTATGATGCTTACATTAGCTTTGCAGTTCCAATTAACAGGTTTGTACTTCTAAGACAGTTCCATGTAGCAAAGTACAAAAACACTGCATGAATCAATGTCAATATGTAATATACTTCTGCCGATAGTCGCTACTAAACACAACAAACTTAAAATCCATTCCCACCGAATTGTTGGATTCACGTAAATTTCTCCAAAACTTATCTTCTTCCTCTCTATCCTAACCTGGAAAAGTACCATGAGATCGATCCGGCTCTGAAGTGAAGAACTCATTCATTTATTCAGGAGGCTAGAGGGATCCTCATAATACTATTGTCGACCATGATGATGATATATAAAGCACGGGTCCTGCAACACATATGTATGAAGTCAAGATGACTTCTTTGCAAAACAGTATAAATATAGATTCAAAAACGCATCAATATTGCGATTAACCACCCAGTCAAGAATATAATGCGTTTTTACTGTGTTTGGATATGTGGCTCCCCAGGATTCAATGCATGCCTGACAAATGTAGAGAACCCTAGATTATCTTACCAGTCATACGGATCTTTGTGTTATTACTACATGGTGACGACAGCTCCGAGATTCTTCTGGATCACCCACCCTTGTGGATAAGGGACATCTCGTGCATCCAAGTGGAGATGCCAATTCAGTATCCTTGAGCAACCAGGTGGAACACCTTCCATCTGGCTTTCATCTTCTACCACTTGCTCTATAAATGTTGTTTCCTTCTCAGGAAAGAAAAACACAAAATCAAGACACTGAAAATGTATATTTCCTCCATATAAACCGGGAGTACGAAAAAGCTAGCCCACGTAATACAACATCCAGTAGATGGAAGCAAAGTCAAATCTTACCTGAAAGCCCTCCTTCACCGTGTCTAGTTGGCGGGTCGGATGTGAAAAAGGACGTTGCCATCTTTTGGGGTCCCACAGAATAGTACTGTTAAAGGCAAATCCTGACATATCAATATGGAACCTCCGCAATCTTTTACTCTTCTCATTTGTGTGCCATCCAATTACTTGGGTTCCATTGCACACTGGACCCTCAAGGACAGCCTTATTTTTGCTTTGCGCAAGCATTGCAACTGGCCAAGTTCCAAATCGGCTATAGAATAAAGAAGATAAGCTATGAGTTTCTGAGACTTGACTTCATCACATTATGGCAAACAAAAATGAGTGCTTAAAATAGCAAAAAACCAAAACAACGGTAAAGTTTGCCAAGCTCTTGTGAAGAGAAAGAAACAATGTTTTCAGAGAGACAAACAAGAGGAACAAAAATTTGAACAAGCAGCAAAAGCATCGGGAATATGATGGGAGGCTGGCTGACAGAGAAAATACAGATTTTGGTCAGCAAAGTACAAATGATCCCCAATTCGAACATCCCAAGTCGAGGCCAGTTCGATCATTCAAAAGTGGGTAAACCAATGGTTTAAGAAGCGTAAGACTACGACAGAGTGTGAAGCAACAATACTTGTGATACTACAATCAACAAAACTGCGTTTGGTAAAGCAAATAAAGGCTAAAAGCTGTTAAGGCCTCAGTCACTTTAAGGAAAAAATCAAGGACGAGATCCAAAACAATTGAAGCTGATCAGAACTCAAAGCAACAAATTCCAGGTAAACAAGCTATAAGGAATTCTTCCGGGGACCACAAACATAATGAGATGCTGAGGAATTACCATGAAGCAGGTCATACCTGATTTTTCTAAAGCTTTGAAACAGCTCAAGCGAGTAGACGTTATCATCATCAGCGAAGTAGACAATTCCATCAAGTCTGTGCAACTCGATGTGCTCCAAGGCCGTGTTCCTCTGGTGAACTCCTCTGTCCTTGATGTTGGTCATATTCTTCTTGCAGACCAAGTGCCTGTACATGACTCCCGTCTTCCTCAGAATCTCTGCTGTTTCAAACGACGCCACATTGCCCTCCACCACTATCCACAGAATCGGCGGCTTTACAAGCCTCAGCGTCTGGGCCATCCTGTTGAGGTAATACGCCTGCATCGCCCTGTTGTACGTCGGCGTCACCACAATTACTAGCTTCTGTGGCTCCGAGATCTTTGCCACAGCTTCCGTTGAGAGACTTACGGCATCGACGGCGGCCAAGTCTTCGTCGCGTTTCCTGTTCCCACCATCAAACAGTTGGTCAGCATACGGTGGCTTGATCTCGAAGGAGAAGCGATCGGTGCCAGGTACATCCTCCATTTGGCCGAACGGCATCATACCAAACAGAAACCCTAGAAGAAAGAAGACGAGACATCGGTAAAACGGCCGCCTCCATCCACTTCTTCGGGAGCTTTTAGGGTCTGAGGTCGCTCCGATCAGTCTTGTGAGAAAGGAAAGCAAATTGGAAGAGCTATGTTTACTGCTAACGCCGGTATTACCACCGTTGGTGAGAGCCTTGTGGGAAGGCGAAGAAGATACAGACAAGGACGAGAAAGGAGCACCACCATTCTCATACGGTCGATCATGATTCATCGGCGAGAGAGTTCGCCGGACTGAAGCCATTAGATACCAACACACCTCAAATCACCAAATCAAGCATTCAGGGAGGCAACAAACATTTTTCCCCACGCATCAATTTGCACGAGTAGAGAGATTGGAAATCGGAATAAAGGCGATCCTAATTTCGATCGGATCGGTGGCCGACGAGATCTAGAGGAGAGAGAAAGAGGTATGGGCCACGGGCGGGCCTGGCGGAGTCAATAATCCGGTCAGATGGTTGGATCGGGCTGACCCGTATTTTGCTCACTTCCTGACCCACGACCATTTTAGGCGAAAAAAATACTCGTTATCTCCTCCTAGTCACCTTGTTCATTGTTACTCACGGGTTGAGCGTTCAGTTATTCGGTTTATTTCAATTTGGATTATTCAGTTTTTGGGTTTTTTTATTTTAATAAAATTAATCCTAGTTGGTTCTAAATTGTCATTTGGTTTGGTTCGGTTTAGACTTTATGGTTTTCGCTTTTCGGTTTCTAAAAAAATACAATAGGACCTCTATAAATTAATATTCTTTATTTTTGGCAAC